TAACAGCAATTGAAAGTAATGGAAACAATAATAACAAAAACAGCAATCAGCCGGCTGGTGTGGCTCAGTGGTTGAGCATCGACCCATGAACCAAGATGTCACCAGTTCGATTCCCGGTCAGGGCACAGGCCCGGGTTGTGGGCTCGATCCCCAGCAGGGGGCGTGCAGGAGGCAGCCGATCCATGACTGTCATCATTGACGTTTCTCTCTATCACTCTCCCTTCCTCTCTCTCAAAAAGACCAATAAAAACATTAAACACACACACATACACCCCACTCCACCCCACCCCTAATCATTTGTGGGCGCTGCCAGACAGAGGCTGCTTGGAAGAATCTGCCCCTGAAGGAGGAGGCCTTTGGGCAACGTGACGATGCTGTGACTGGCCGTCCCCTTCATGCATCTGCGATTCTAGAAGATGCTAGATGAAGCCGACTCCCTGTAAATGAGGGAGTTCGACCAGATCTTTGGGGTCTCTTCGAGCGGAAGCAGCTGGAGACTAGTATTTACAAAGCAGCGTTGGAAGACTGGCTCCTGGGCTGGGTGGACGTGACAGCCCCATGCTGCCACCTTGTGGCACAATGCTGCACTGTACTCTCACCCACAGCTCTGCGCCCTGGCTCCAGGGCGGGGACAGGACCCTCTGGGAGGTGGCACAGTCCCTCTCAAAGCGCCAGCACCTTATCTAACTCCACGCCAGCTTTCAAACCCCAGGACAATCGAGGAAAGGGATCTATATGCCCTCAATCTGCGCCTGGGAGGCTCCCACGTGTTCAAGACACAGTCACTCCTCTGCCTGGTCTCCCCAGCACCCCCACCCCAGCATCGTAGGCCCCCAGCCACTGCATCAGGTTATGGGTGTCTGCCCCCCACAACCTCAGAGTTCCTGGAGACCAGGGACTGTGCCATTCATCTGTGTATCCCCGGTGCCCAGCAGATGGCCGGACCAACAGTGGGCACTCAGTGTTTGTTGGATGAAAAGGAGGGGCGATGGGGGTGAGGGATGTGACTTTGCCCCAAGGCCTGGGCAGTCCCACTGTTCTCTGAAGACAGTGAAGCCTTGGGTACCAAGTCAGCCCAGGGCTCAAATTAATGAACAAACTGAAAGCCGGGGTCAGGCTGTCACCTGGGCGTCCAGGACTTCACTTTTGTTTTTGTTACTCCTTACCTGAAGATATTTTTCCCATTGATTTTTAGAGCGG